AAAATTGCGTTCAATTTGGTGCTTTCCTCTTATTTTCACTTTGTTTGTAACGGGTGATTTTTTAAGAGCTTGATACCTTTTTTTTTAAAAAAAACGCATAAAATTTGCAAAATCTCATCGGTTCTTTATTTGAAACGTTAGATTGGTCCATGACATTTACTGTTTGAAGATAATTTCATTTAAATGTTGACCGCGGCTGCGTCTTAGGTGGTCCATTCGGAAAGTCCAATTTTGGGCAACTTTTTCGAGCATTTCGGCCGGAATAGCCCGAATTTCTTCGGAAATGTTGTCTTCCAAAGCTGGAATAGTTGCTGGCTTATTTCTGTAGACTTTAGACTTGACGTAGCCCCACAAAAAATAGTCTAAAGGCGTCAAATCGCATGATCTTGGTGGCCAACTTACCGGTCCATTTCTTGAGATGAATTGTTCTCCGAAGTTTTCCCTCAAAATGGCCATAGAATCGCGAGCTGTGTGGCATGTAGCGCCATCTTGTTGAAACCACATGTCAACCAAGTTCAGTTCTTCCATTTTTGGCAACAAAAAGTTTGTTAGCATCGAACGATAGCGATCGCCATTCACCGTAACGTTGCGTCCAACAGCATCTTTGAAAAAATACGGTCCAATGATTCCACCAGCGTACAAACCACACCAAACAGTGCATTTTTCGGGATGCATGGGCAGTTCTTGAACGGCTTCTGGTTGCTCTTCACTCCAAATGCGGCAATTTTGCTTATTTACGAAGCCATTCAACCAGAAATGAGCCTCATCGCTGAACAAAATTTGTCGATAAAAAAGCGGATTTTCTGCCAACTTTTCACACATTCAACACATTTCGAACCGAACACTGATTTTGGTAATAAAATTCAATGATTTGCAAGCGTTGCTCGTTAGTAAGTCTATTCATGATGAAATGTCAAAGCATACTGAGCATCTTTCTCTTTGACACCATGTCTGAAATCCCACGTGATCTGTCAAATACTAATGCATGAAAATCCTAACCTCAAAAAAATCACCCGTTACGTGTGTGTGTGTGTGTGGAATAACTCCCCAGCAAACCTTTTGGTTTGATATCAACTTGAGACGCATTTGATATTAAATAGCCTTCTCAAATCTCCAACGTTAATTCTCAACAGCATCTCAACGAGCGGATTATAGTATTCTCAACATAAAAGGCACTTTTTTTACATGAAGATTTTCTTAGTTATCAAGTTGAGAAATTGTTAATTCTCCACTTGACCCCAAATCAATTTCTCTAATTGGTATCAAATGAAAGCTTCTTTTTTATTTTATACTTTTAATACATTTTATTTTATTTTGTACTTTTGGTTACTTATTTAGATTAAAAATTATACAAAGTACCAGCTTTTTATGATTAATTTAATTCTATGATTAATTTAATTCTTAAGGTGGTATTGTTTTTACCGTACCGTATTTAAAAAAATTTAAAAGAGAATTTAAAGTACATTTGCTTAGCAACGACTTACAAAATTAAAAGAAAATCGCATTTCAAATCGTAGTATGGTCCAATATGCACCTTCTACAAAAGGTTTTCGTAAATGATGAAAATAATTTAAATAAATAAATCCGTGTTGTTCCAAAAAGCAACATTAAGATATATGTAGTACACCGGACAAGTTTCAGTTAAATCCATTAAGCTATAGTTATATAAATTTAATTATAACTCATATGTGTGTATGTACGTATGCACATATTTTCAAAATTCGTTTCAAAATTCATTTTTTTTCTGGGTTAATATGACATAATGGATTTATCTGAAACTTGTCAGTGGTATCACAGATATCCTAAAGTTACTTCTTGGATCTATACAGATTAAATTAAAATAAATACAATTATCGATCCAGCTTAATGCACCTTTGTGAGCATACATATACATATTTAAGTTATTTTTTATTTTCCTTTCGCTCTTTGTATGCATGCTTTTTCTGCAGACGATTATTGGCATGCTGGAAAAATGATATGACTGTCCTTTCGAACTCGCTGTCGGAAGCTGCAGTTGCAAATTTTTGATTGTACGCTTCTGAAATGATATACATATGTATATACATACAAATGTGTAAAAATTAAAGAATGATAAGACATACTAACGTTTTAGTGCTGTTGTTACACTTAAAGCTCGAACGGGCGTTTTATTATTTGTTCCTTGCCAGCACAATTTTTGGGCTACTTCGTCGGTCATAATTTTCCGCCATGCTTCTTTTAAAAATTTTGATGAATTGCCACAAATTATGCTCAAAAAATCGGCAACCTAGAAAAGTCATATGCATGTTGTAATTACTTTCATGTTTAAATAGTATGCGATTATACGCTTATTTACAAAACTTACCAAGTCATTAAATTTGTTTTCCGATTTTTCTATTTTGGCCTCAAAGTCTTTAAAATCATTTTCTTCTTTAAACGGTGTTTTCGGCATTATCGGCTTGCGTGTGCTACTCTTGGAATTGCCATTAGCTTTGACTTCTTCGAGAACGCGTTTCAGAAGCTTTTGTGTAATTTCTTGTTCTGTAAATATTATAAATGTATATAAAATACTGGGGATATACATAAGTACATATTGGTTGATATTAACGATTTAAGGATACATGTTTATGGACTTTTGCAAAAACAACTTATGAATCTGACTTAAGCATTTTCGCTTCCAGCCAAATAAATCGAAACAACTTCTATCTAGTTCAGAAATGCATCGAGAAAATCGCAATACGATGGATTTAGTGATAGCCCTATTATTTAGTGAAAAGTCCAACAACGTAAACACTACAATAATTTTACCTTTTAAAACATTTTCTTGAAATTTATCAATTTTTTGGTGTAACTCATCTAAATCTGAAAGATTAAAAATAATATTATTAGATATGTATATCTTTATCAAATAACAAATAAAACTCACCTTTTTTAGATATCAGCTCCTCTGCTAGTATTGCTGACGAACTAAGAAATGTGCTGTTTAAATCCATCTACATGTGAATGAAAGGTATAAATATAAATTTATTACATTCGAAATTATTAAAGACAATGATTTTCTGAGATATTTCATGTACTGAATGCTGAAATTGACAATCAGAAAACTGCAATGTGGCGCAACATTTAATATTAAAATGGGATGATTTTATAGGAATCGTAAAAAAGTCTGTTAAGTTTATAACTTCTCTGGAAATAATTTCAAAAGCACTGTCTTTTTTTTGAAAGTCGTTTGAGAATAAATATTTTATTTTGGACGCTGTAAAAATTATCTGGACGTTTAAGGGATAAGTAAAAGAATTCTGTATTTATTGACTTCACTGGTCCATTTTCATCTGCTTTTTTATTTGTAATTTTTGCTGCAGAATATTGAGAGGAATATAAACTTTCCTCAACCAAGCGGTTATATATTTGTGCAGCAATGTGATCTTTTTTATTGCATTTTCGTTTGAGTTTCGACAAAAAATTTTCGAATTTGAACGCACTTACAGACTCTAAGCATCCATGGTTCAATGCATCACTATGCAAGTGTGTAAGGCAGTGATAGTTGAATGTTAAAAAAGAATCATCATAAAAATTTGGAACTTTTTTAACAAATTCATTCAAGAGTATTTTTGCGCACGCATTGTTTTCCTTACAGGACTTTTCATTCAATAATATTCTTATGCCCAAGCTTAGCATTAAGAAATGCGTATATCTTTCTACATCTAAGACTTCAGGTAAAGCGAAAATTCCTGTATATAACAGAAATGTCCTTAGCTCAGTAGCCTTAAACCTTTCAATATCGCTCAGGCCACGTGGATGACGAGCAAATTCTTTTGGAACCTGATTACTTAGAAACAATAATCGAGAATTCAACAAACTTATAGTCGAGGATTTCAAAGAATAAGTTTTATTTCTCTGCCTAACCCATCCAAGAAGCAAAGATTTGGTTACACCAAGGCATACAACATGCATGTAATCATAAGGAAAAGAGTTTACAATATCGATGGGCAGTTTTTCGATAGCTGTTGACTCGATCAGTTTGTGATGATTTACGTCCAAACGGGATCGGAAACTTAAATCTGTTCTAGCGCTATGAATTTCACTACGAAAAATCATTCTATGCCCAAGGGATTCTCCTCTTTGCGTGCATTTGATACAACTAGAGAAACCAGTGTGTCCTTTAACTCCTAAAATATAGGACCTTGCTGGCGCATCGCAAATAAATGAACGACAATGAATGGAATAATGACTGCCATTGTAATCCAACCCCTTTTCTAACAGCTCCAGCAACTCGTTTACAAACCTTTGCAAATAATCATTTGGAGATAATGGTTTACTATTGCCGGAATAAGCCCCTACAACCATAACATTAGGCGTTCCATTGACATTTATTAATATTGGCCAAGTCTGCAAATTGGAACTTTTTGAAAGTGGAAGGCCGTCAATATTAACGTTAAGATGGATTTCCATCAAACTATAGGAGTTGTTTATTAAAAAATCAGTTAGTGAGTCCTCAACACCGTAGTGAATGTATTCTCCTAGTCCCATATTTTCAACAGGTGGTCTCCTAGGAGTGGATTTTAAAGTCCTTGAATCCCGTGGAAGATCACCCACGTGTTTGCACAATATTGTTAATAAACTATTGGTAGCCGCCGTTGATATATTGAATTGCACAGATCATGCCCCTAATTCAATTCTCAAATCTACAGATTTTTCGAAATCTGGAACACCATCACTTTTCGACTCACTCAATTCATCATCCGATATACATATTTGAAGTGGACGAGCTTGCAGTGAAAGTATCTTCTTGGCCCTGACACTCCTGACGTGTAGGAGCGGCCACTTCACGCTCTGCAAGAAGATCTACTATCTGCTTCACTTCACTTTTTAATTTCTTTCTTTGCATTGTTTCTGCCACTGAACTAAGCACTAACTTTTTTTAAGTTATTGCGCAACTCACCTTTTATTGTTTTCTTGTTGCGTTAATTTTTATTTCAGTGTTTTCACTTTTTCTACGAACATTAAAACCGCTGTTGCCAGATCAACACTTTTGCAAAGGAAACATAAGCGCTG